TCTCTAAGCCCAGATCTGGACGGCGAGGTTGATCCCGTCGACTTTGCGACATCGACACCGCCGGGATTAGCGCGTTAATCCGTCGATCTCTGCACCGGGCTAATCCAAGTATAAACTATTTTGCTCCATTTCGCCTACCTTTCCCCTGTGAAGCTCGTCACACTGTCCTCGGTTAGGCTGTGCTTTCAGACACCGATTCATCTCAAATATACCTATCAAAACGTACCTCCTTCTAATCAAATTTGAAATAAAACAATGCATTGTTTATTTAGGGGAAACAAAAATCATTGATCAGTGAAGCCAATATACTAGATAGATGTTTCTTCATAGATATATCCTAATTAGTAAACGGTTGAATAGAATATTTGCCCAATTAGACACAATATGAAATTGAGTAAAATTGAGCAAAAATGATTATTGCAATGAAGGTCTAAAACAATAATCCTACCGATGTGAGCAATGGAATTGAAGGAAATATAAAATATGTAAACAAAATGTTTAGTTATCCATGTGTCTTTTAAATACAAATTATCTACGGATACTAAAGAGAACAAGGCAACAAAATTGGAATCCAAACCATGTTCATAAATCATAACCTGTAGGGTTCTGTATATCGTAGACTTCATTTGTGAATGACACGACGCCTTCTAGTTTGTTGTGGTGAGTGTAAGCCAAGTCTGGCCCCCGCTCGACATGGCTATTTCTTCCCTTAATCTCCTCATTCCGAAATAAAAACATGCAAAACCCAGAAGAAAGGGACCCCAGCTATTTCAATTTTGAGTGCGCGCAGAATTTAGGTGGCAAAAACAACGTCATTCTTGGACAAAGCCAGGAAGATGAAACGTTAATACGACGTGTCAATCACATACCCTGTCAGTTTCGTGTAATTTCTTTGTACCGGACGAATATTGCCTCATTTTTTCTTTCTTAAGGGGCAGTTTTGTAAGAAGATTAGTAATCTGTTCGTTCAAGTACTAGCAGGTGAATAAGGATAAATGTTAAACATGATTTGCAGCTTTGGTTAAGTTTTTAGGCACCAGTAGTGGACGGGGGAGGGGCACACGCTGCCCCCTTTTAAGACCTTATCATGCAACCCTTGAATGAACAAAGAAAAAAATTATACATGTTTTGTGTCCGCTTTCATATACAACACCCCAGCATGCATAGGTGCTTTAATTGTTTTTCTTCAGGGGGAGGCTTGCTTGTCACAGATTAGTTTATCTGAATTGTGCCCCCTTACCTCCATTAAAAAAACCTCGATCCGCTCCTGGTTGCAAAAACGAAAAAGCGGCTTTTTACACGTATGAGAAGACACAAGAAGATTGTTTACCCTAAGACTCAGCGCCAAACATGTTTTTCTGGACTTGTAATTTGTAGATAATGATTTTGATATTATTATGTATAAAATATTCTCTTTCTATTAATTTTCATGATCACTACTAAAACTTCTTTGTCGCATGTCTATTAATGCTATGACTGTTAAGATCCGAGATGTTCTTCCTTCATTGTCTTGAAAAAAGGAAAGAGAAATGCAAGTGACACGAGTTGAAACAGAACTTGTTGAATAGGAGAGCAATCATAAACGCAGAACAAAACGAGGATGGTAGATCCGAAACAATAGGCAAGAACAAAAAAGTCTAACAGTAAAAGAAGAGAGAAAGAAAAACCGTTATTACATTGTGCACACGTCTCTTTATACATAGTTCCATCAAAAATGTAGCTATACTACTCCCTTTAGTAGGTCCATAGTTTAACATAATTCCAAATCATTGACACTTCACCTGGAGTGATGCCAAAACAGTTAATTTCTCGAAGGTTCTAGGAGATGAAGCTCGAGGGAACATAAACACATGTATTACGTTACCAGGATAAGCTTCTTTGATATCTACCTTAGATAATACCTGGTGCGTGATTACGCAAAGTCCTGAATTGAGTTTGTCTTTCGTTGTTATCCCTTTGCTCCGTTTTATTTCAGAATTCGTCATTGGATTCTTCTTCTGAATTTTCTCACAAAGTCCCTCGATCTCGGACAATGATACCTAGATCTACAATAGTTTATTTGTCGCACAACCTTTCTATAACCCACGATCCAAGGTGATTGGTGTATATAGAAGTTCTCTTTTTTCCCTCTCTCTTTGGATCGTGATTGGTTTTGTAGTTGTTTCAAGAGTTGATCACCTGCTTTCGACATGTTTGCTTAAAAGTAAAAGGGCGGCATTGTTACTCTCTGCAAATGTTGCAGCATATCATGACTGAATGGCTTGTGGCTGTTTTCTTGCGCGATTTCTGTTTCTTTTTGCGCTTTCAGCCGGGCTTGTTGCACCTGAAGCAAGGCGGAGGCTTCGTGTTCTGTAGCCTGGTCATTACCGGGCTTAAAGAGCGGCAGCTTCTCACAATCATGAGAGGGACATGGAAAAAAAGGGGGCGGTTGGAAGGGGGAAAAAAGGCAGGGGGAAAGCAATCGGCGGGGTTCAGAAGGTATCTAAGACAGGGGGCAACCGGCCCGCGAGCTACCCGATCGCGTTTCATTACCCCCTCCAAACGTGGTATCACGCCAAGGAGAGAGCGGTGAAAATGAAGGGTGGAATAGAGGTGGAAGAAAGGCCCCCAAACCGCCCCTATTGAGGTTCTTAGCTCAGTCTGAATGTCACTTTTCATGAACAAAAGCCCTGCGCTGTTTTTTGAAACCTTCTCCAGTGCGGAGACAGAATAGCGAGTTGGGATGGTTTTCATTCACGCTCCTATTCAAAATGTACTTCAAAAAACCGTATTCAAAACGCAAGCCATGCACTGCAAGCGGGTCTCCCCCAGCACACTTGTTTTCTCCCTTTCTTCCCCCTTTCTGCCTTGTTCCCTTATAAACTCGAACTTGGGGAGTGCTATCGTGTAACTCGGTCGGTTTAAGAGAAACTGTTTTGGTTCCTATTTTGTTTTGTTTTCTCAAACTCATTGGTTTCCCCGCCCCGTCTGTCTAGCGAGGGGTATGTATTTCGTCCCATTCATGCCAGCATTCTGTGTCATGTTGCTGATACAGGGGATCACTATCAGGCGGCTGGGTCTACACCGCCCCTCCAGAGTTTCGGCCGGGTTGAAACTCTTAACAAGAGTGTCTGTGTGTCCCCGTTGCCTTCGCTGCAGCCTCCGTTCTTGACTCCTATGCACCTCCCATCCCAATTTTTCTCTCCCAATCTTTCCTGAATTAATTTTTCTTTACCTCCCGATCTACCCGCCTTATCTTTCATGTTGCCCCTCTCTACGTACATGACGGTATCTCCTAAAATATATATTTCATAAGTTTTTAACTTGTATTTCTACTTTTTAAAAAGTACTTATATAATGATTATGTGAACGTTCCCTTTCTCCCCCACTCAATCTATCTATCTCTCTTTTCTTTCTCTCACTTGTTAACTTTCGTTTATTAATTTTTGCTTTATATTTTGGTATTTCTGCATATATTGTATCCCTATTTATATTCCCCCTTCTTCAATCCATCCCCTTCTCCCTGCAGGCACCCCATCCTTTCTGAGTCTCCCATTTCTCTTTCTCTCTTATCCCGATTTCGATGAGAAAGTTCATTTTGGTTTTAAAACTCTCAGAAATTGTGACGTATTATTTCAATTTCAAATGAAGTATTCTTCTATATACGTATAACACTCAAACACTTCCTATGTTAATTTATCTTGGTGCTACAAGGCATGCCTTCAAGTGTAGAGCTAAAAAGATGATGTATATGAGGTTTCTCATCACTTTCAAGTTTCAGGAAGATATTGCGAGTTATGTGGCAAATTTTATGTCAGAACGATTTTTATGAAAAACGAGATCTAAGGCTCTGTATCATTCCAACATTGTAGTCTTTTTTTTATTTGGTGAAGAAAACCCACCTTGACGACAAATTTTACACGTTACTTTACTCATTTGTTCTTATCATTTTTATTTCAAATTCCATATGACTTGTATTTTATTCCTGCATAATTTACAGAGAGTTTTGTCCTGTGTAAAATGTCATCAAAATGGAACTCTATCCGCATCTTGAACTAGTAGTAGTAGATTTTTTTTTTTCTTATCACTTATTATTTTGTCTGGTTGGTTTTATGATCGGAGAAGAAAAAAAATGCACAAACGAGACTCGACTGAGATTGTTGTGCCTGTAGCGTTTGCTTAGATTAACCTCAATTTTCAATCTTTGCATTGTTGAAATATGCCATCAGTTTTCATGTTTTTTCTGTTAATGGGAGTTTTACCGTTTGTTTTTAATATAAATATTCATGGCTTCTTTTTTCTCTCTCACTCTCTCTTCATCCCTTTCTGTTATCTTGGCATCATATTTCCATATTTTCGTATTTCCTTATGTGTTTCCTGTCCCTCTTTACGCCATTTCTACCTGTCTCTTTTTATTTTCTGACTCTGTCAATCTCTCTGTGTCTGTCTCTCTCCCTCCCTCTCTCGGTCTCTTTATCGCTATCTCTGTCTGCCTCTCTCTATCTCTCTCACTAACTTTTTCTTTTTTTTTTTCTCTCTCTCTCTCTCTCTGTCTCTGTCTCACTCCATGCATGCTTACTATCCGGAATATATTACTCTGTATTTCCCTTTTTCTTTTTGTCTATCCCCCTTTCTCTCTCCCTCTCTCCCCTCTCTCTCTCTCTCTCTCTCTCTCTCTCTCTCTTTTAATGTATTCTTAGGTAGGCACAAATATATACTACCACCATGTTTATCTTGTTGCTTATTTATGTACCAACCAATGATTATTTGGTCCAGAACTTACAAGCTCTGCTTTAACCAGGGTCTCCTCGTCTTTCTTTTAGTTCACTTTGTGTGTTTTGCTTTGTAAATGTGTAATGATCTAATGTTATGCTCTATGTGACATTGAAAGAATGACGAATAATTATCTTATTTTCCTCCCCCACATTCTCTTCAACTTCAACTTTCCCATCCTCTCCCATCCTCTCCCATCCTCTCCCATCCTCTCCCATCTTCCCAATCCTCTATCCGCCTATCTGCAGGGTGAGCTATCCGTGGTCGACGAGTCACGGCGGGTCATTGTCCAGGCGGTGCATGAACTCTACGATCGCGAGGTCACCACGCCCTGGGAGGAGAGGACGACCAGGACATGCACCATCGTCTTTATAGGTAAATAGTCCAGCAAATAAATATAAATATGAAACATTTCTGTAGCACATCACATCTTATATATCCCAATCTTTATTCAGACCTCGGTTATGTTTCAAACTACACGTTAAACGTTTGCTCGACTCCCCGTTATGACAACATGTCCGCCCTCAACGTTCAAATGCAGTCAATGTTTGAAGTATGATACATCTGTACATCATTGGCTTCATAGTGACGAGTGTCATGTTTATTTCATGGAGGTCATGATTTCCTTGTTCCAAAAGAAGAGTAGATAATTATCCAAATTCATGTGATTTGGTAAGTACCCAGGTTTTATGAAGAGACATATTAAGGCGGGGGGGGGGGGGGGGGTTGGGGGGCGTAGCCCGAGCAATGATAAATTGTGACAACAAATTCAATAAGAATGCAAGACCTTACATTCAAAATCTTGTAATACGACAATGAGGGCATCGGGCATTTAAGTTCTCGCTGCCCCCCCCCCCCCTCCACCTCGGTACAAAGAGAAAGAAGACAAACTCCACTCAAACTCAAACAAATATTGAGAGGGGGAAATAAAGTGGGCACCCATAGCTCTTGTTATAGGAACAAAGACTAGGATGGGAATGGGTATATAACATACATTATCAAAGCGTTTTTGTTTGATTGGGCTGCATGTTCCGCCCAGAATATGAAATTACTGCACTTTGAGTATTCTGCTCCATCAATGAAAACCGGGAGAAAGTTGGGGGTACAAGTTGACTCCAATAACTGTGGTGGTTTCGAAAGAATTGTAAAATGAATGGCCATGCCTTTACATTTTGTGACAAAATAGCATATACAAAAATATCTTTATTTTCGTTTTCTGGGCTAGAAATTGAGGGAAGCTCCCTATGAAAGAAATCAAATTATTTTGTCAAAGGCAATGATATTCTGACATTATATTCATCAAAACACAAAGAGGATGTTTTCGTATTTTGTCAGAGTTACTGTTATCGATAGAGGCAATTCGAATGTTTATTTCCTTTAATCAGGGGAATGTTGCTAAGCATCTCCTGGAATCAGTGTCTGATTGTATTATGTTTGAATTAGGAATATTTATTTAAAAATAGAATTAGACAATTATGATCTTTGGTAAAGATTACATTCATTAGTCATCTCGAGCATGAGTAATTAGGGAGGGAATGTTTTTAATTCAAAGGATGTTTGCTTTGTGATGTTATGTATCTAGACCAAGCAGTTATCTCCTAATTATGTCGAGGTAGTTGGCCTAATTCTAAACAGGAAAGAGAAGAAATGAAAACATCCGAGGTGATAATAACGTTTCTCTTTGAGATCAGAGAAAGCCGCCAGACCCATGTTTTCGTTTTCGATCAGGTTCTTGTAACTGTTTTCCGTTGTTTTATCCGCACGGTATCAGCACATAATCCCTTCAGTTGGCCGGTATATCCGCCGATCTATCAGCGACGGGGGACTTACCGGGGACTCTCTCTTCGCCGTCTCTCTCGGCGTACAATCGTCTAACCACCGCCTCCAGTGTCGAGGGCCCGCGCGCTTTACCTCGAGGTGGGGTTTTTGCGCACACACTAAAAGTGATTGAATAGTAGACAAGCGGCAGAGTGCACCCGCTGTGTTTGCAGAGCGGATTAGCGGCCAACCAAAACTTGTTAACGGGGGATCAGCCGGCTCGGAAGTAGCGCGCGATAGGGGTACTGCCAACAAAGTTTCAGCGGGGGCTCCCGCCGATTATCGCGTTTATATTCACACCTGCGTGATAAAGGTCTTAGCAGCGATAAGATAAAACTATTTTGATGGACGTAAATGATGCCGTCCTATCTGGCTGTGCCTTGGTAACCCCTCACCGGGCGCTTCGTCCCATAAACATCAAAGCACCAACAAAAACTATTTTGACAAGCTTTCAAAACAAAAGGGAAGCCTCGCGCGTTGGTAATCATGAGCGGATAAAAACACCATCTCTGTTTGATACCGCTATGTTGCGGTAAGATTACCATGTTGCTTTGAAGGCTTATCGTTGCTGTATAACTGATGTAATCAAACAAAATGCCGTTCATTTAACAACAGCTTGGCTAACCTCTGTTGACAGTGGACTTGTGTATGTTACTTTGATTGTAGGTTTTTATAGCGAGATGTCGTGAAGTGCCGATTAATGGCCTGTAGAGGTGTCTTTGAAACAACACCATTATAGATCGGCAGACCGCCATATAGTGCATTAGCCTCTCTAGTTATTTTAAAGCATAAATATGCAACATATTTAACCCATATTCAATGATTAACAACTAGTATTACAAAAACGAAGAGGAATCTATGTTACTGCGATGATCGATTTTATATACTACGAATATCATTGGCGTAGGGACACAAGGGGACACGTCCCCCTTCCATAACCTCACACTAGTCGACGGCTAAGTTATCTCGCATTATATTAATCAAATAGGACCGATGCCCCCACCACCCCCTTTCCACACCCCCTTCTCCCTCCACCTTCTCCCTCCCCAGGGCCACTCTCCTTTGCGAAACTATGCTGATTCTTTGTTGTCTTAATTGTCATTATGACATGACCAGTGAAAGAAGGGCCATTATACCCTTTGTCAAAAATGGTATAAGAAAATCAGTATGTTAGAATGTATTTAGAATAAAGTCTAGATGAAAACTGAAAAAACGCGTACAACCCATTATTCCGGCTATAGGGGAATTTCTAACTGTACGGTCTGTGGGTTGCTCGCGATTCTTCGTTTCTTGTGTGTACTTTGGAGGAGATTTGTACAATCCTCCCTAATCATAATAGTTGATGTTATCAGATACGGTTAACACTTCTCCCCCAAGTAACAACGGGATTTTCCGTTGTTGTGCAGGTGACAGAATCATGTTATCAAAAAGAAAGAGAGGAAAAGAACAAAATGGTTTTACACAGACTGATTGACCCCGTATTTCATAACGAGAACCACTAAAAACTGCTCGAAATTAACTGAGATATACTTTGAACTAATGGATATTTATTTGACGTTGTAACTGTAATGACACCTCCCTTTCCATTTATTTATGTTCATTTAATTAATTTTCAGGAACATTCACTTGACAATAGCACTCTTTGACAATGTAGGAACATTAAACAACAACAACAACAACCGGGCATTACCCGAAAGAAATCTCCCATCATTCATGTCACTGTGGGATTTTTTTTTGAGGTGAAAAGCAGTAATACTAATAGTTTCATTTCGACCAAAGTAAATTATCATATATTTTTATTTAAATAGTTTGCATCTGCATTGTTTTTAGTTTGTTTGTTTTCTGAAGCCGCTTTCAGCATGTTGGGTTACCCCCAAATGAATTTTCTTTTGCCTATAAACTTTTTACGCATGGTCCTGTGATCGGGTAATAATTGACAGAATGATTGTATCCTTACCCGAAATGATTCGGATGACCTTGAATCAACTTGACTTTGGTCGACCTACTTTTGCTGTACCTCACCAAAATCCCCTTCAGAGTTCCTCTCATCTAATCAAATATTCATGACGAATCAAGAGGTGAAGAATATTTCAGCCATTTTTCCCCTACTTCTTCCATGGCCATCGCGATGGTCAAGCTTTTATGGCGTAATTTTGAAGAGCCCTTGAATCACGAAAAAGAAAAGAAAAGAAGTTTATGACAATTTTTTGGAATGACTTGTCAGGGTGTGATTGACATGTGCAGCTCTTTGAACACGGATAAAAGAGTGTGAGTGAGAGAGATAGAGAGATAGAGAAACGAGAGAGAGAGAGAGAGAAAGAAAGAGAGAGTTTGTCCATAAATTTGAATGTATTGTGTTGCATAGGCCCATCCACAGCAATCAGACTTGAACTAGACATGTACCTGAAGATCGTCGATGTTAAACGTAGTCTGAAAAATCAAGCGCCTTTTTGTCATTCCCCTATGTCATTGGTCGCGTTGGCCTACTCTCGGCTACCCCACCCCGCATAGAGAGGAAAAAAGAAGTCACTTGTATATACAATATACGTTTTTCATCGATCATACATATAGATCCTGGCGAATTTTAAACATTCGCACCCCCCCCCCCCCGACAGTCATGGGTCCACCTTTGCAATATTTACAGATGATAAGAAAATAAATTGTTATAGGGATACGAGAGGGGTAACACTTTCTTTTAAATGGAGGGGGCGAGGTCACTCCCGGTTTTCTGATCAGTAGTGCGGCTCCGGGGGCACTATTAATGAATGTCCATGAAAAAAATGGATGTTGTTATAGAGAGAAAGAAAAGGGAAAAATGGTGTGTAGAGGGGGGGGGGGGGAGGCAACTTATACAAACTCATCGGATATTAAACCTAATTGATCTCGCATATTTTATCCATCTAGTATTAAAAAGACATCGAATAAAAGTTTTTTATCACGGACTCTCTACAAAGAAAAGTTCAAGTCGTTGTGGAAAGGGGTCTGCCGGAGAAAGTTAGCTTTTGGTGGCCGTTGAACTCGGAATATGCCTTGACGGACAGTTATGATGTGCGTCGGAAAATGACCATTTTATGAAAATGATAAGCTAAGATTGTTGAAAGGGATGATGTAGCGAGTGTATCCTTTCTCCTTATCAATGAATCCTTTAGAAAAGCTCGTCACCTAATGCTCATCTCTCATATTTTGTGCGTTGCACCTTTTCCTCGATATAAAAAGCCCTCTCCAAAGCCAAGCTGTAAACAAACCCTTTGCTTACAGTGTTGCTGACTTGAAGTGAGTGTCGTATCAAGACCTATGACTCACGGAAAGCTTGTGCTAAGGACTTCATTTGTTTGTCTCTCCCTCACTTTTTCTCCTCTTGTTTCCTTCCCCACCTCTTGTTTCCTTCCCCAGTTTATCATTCACTCTTCAAACTTCTTGTCCTAATTAGCAGCGACCCGCAAACGCGTTTTTCTCGCACAATATCACATCGCAAACAAAATATTGCCGCCCTTTTCCCGGGCGAAACAATTTTGGAGACCTCCACAAAAATGTGCACTCAGAGAAAAGGCCTGTCT